GGCCACTTCTGCGCCCGAGACTCAGTCCTCCCCGGCCCGGCGCTGTCCTCCTCTCTCGGGCTGGCTGGGCTGCAGCTGCCTCCGCCTCCTTGTCTGCGGCCGGGAGGGTGGCCAGGACAGGTTCCAGGGACGCCCGGTGGCGCAGCCCTGCTGTATGTCCCAGGACTGACTCCTCGGGGAGGCCGGACAGACTCAGCTCAGGCGGCCGAGGAAGCAGGCTGTCCTTGACAGGCTAGAGAAGCGGAGGGTGGGCGGGTAGTGGAGGGTGGGTGGCATCCACGACCGACCGAGGATTGTGGCCTCTCCAGGGAGCCAAGGTCACTCCTGGGGCCCCTGTGGGGCTGCGTTTGTCAGGAGACCTGAGGGGCAGAGAAGAGAGCCGTCAGCCTCCGCAGACACCAAGGGTTCCCGTCGGGCATGGCGGGAACCCAGAGATCGTCCACGAGGCTGGCCTCACCCGGACAGCACACTTCAAAGATGCCAGCAGACTTCCTCGAGGACAAAAACTAGATCTCGGGCCCCAGTGCTGGAGGAGAACCCTACGCCTGTCACAGAGGGCAGCCCGGGGGCACCCGCTTCCTCTGGGCTCTGGGTGGGACCCCGCCCTTGGCCATGATGGGGGCACTGGAGCTCCGTCAGCAGCCAGTGTGAGCTGCGTGTCCTCCGCCCCGTGCTGGCCAGGGCCTCAGGTCTGAGTTGCATCCAACTGTTTCCCTAACCGTGTCTTGCACTGTGCCCTGTACACAGCAGGTACTGCAGAACTGCATGGAGCAGAGTGATGGGAACACGTGTGTCTCACCCCTACAGAGCCCCTGGGAGGCTGCAGAGCTGGAGTGTTCATGCTGGTTGGTGAGGCCCGAAGCACCCACACCCAACACCCCAGGGTCCCAGGAGATGCGACACAACAGGCCGGCTCACAGCCGTGAGGCGATGTGAGGGTTCCAGCCTCTGCTCTGGGGCAGCGGAGGCATCACCTATAGAGTGACGGAGACAGGAAAGCAGGGAGTGTGGTTTCCACAGAGCATCACAGCCTCAGGTGGTGGGACCCGTGTCCAGCAGCCTCCTGTCCCATGTCCCCGCTAGGCCACTGGCTCCCTCATCCCCTAGGGTGGCCCCAATTTGAGGCAGGGACCCCGAGGCCTGGGGTCCCACAGAGAGTATGCAGGTGGCCACTGCCTTTTAGGACCCCAGACCTGGGTCAGGCGCATGGGGCTGCCCTCCCTGTACCGACTCCCAGCAGGCCCAGCTCTGCAGGGAGTAGACGGTGTCCTGGGGGTCCCACACATACCATGGGAGTGGGACGCAGCGGGTGTGATGGCCCGGGAGGGGCCTCTCCAAATGTGCTGAGGGAGACCTCCCCCAGAAAGCCCCTCCCCTCTCCCTGCAGCTGCTCGTCCGCCTCCGGGCTGGTCCCGCGTCTACCGCATCCGGCCTGAGCCCCGGCCCTTTGCCACCTGCCTGCGGCCCCGGTCACACTCCCACCAGGCCCCGCCCTGTCACGCGGACCACACCACGGCCTCCTGGCTCCTCCCGAGTCCTCAGCCGGCGGGCTGTGTGCAGGCTGTCCGGCTCACACGGGCCGCTCCCCAGGCCCCGCCCCGAGGGCCTCACGCTGCCCGTCCGTCCTGTCCTGCGCTGCAATTAGCCGCCGCGGGCCGTAAACCGGGCAAGCGCTGCTCACATCTTCACTGTCTTCCGTCGGTGGCCGGCTCGGGGGGAATGTGGACTGACTGCCTCCGGCCTGCCGTCCTCCAGGACAGACAAGGCCCCTCCCCAGGTGGCTGGGCTGCACATCCCACCCCAGCTCTGACAGCGCCTCGGCACTGCACTCAGAGCCCCTGCAGGGACCCTGCTCTCCACCTGCAGCTCCCAGACAGCAGCCAGGAGCCATGAGGAAGGGCATCTGCCGGACAGGACTCAGCTCGGCCCCCCCTCCTCCAAGCCCGTGGTCCTGGGCACCTGCCAGGAAGGACTCAGCTTGCCCCCCCCACCAAGCCCGTGGTCCCGGAACCCCAAGGCCGGCACAGGGTTCCAAGGAGCAGCTCTGAGAACCTCAGGTTTCCCTGAGGCCCCGCCGGACCGTGCTGTCTCCTCCCCAGCTCTGTGTGGAGCCCACGCACGCGGGCGCCCCGAACGCATCAGTGGCGAGGGGGTGTTAACTGGATTTAGGTGTTTCAGGCCCTAGCAGGTTGATGGCAGAGCTGGACCAGAGCTGAGGGTGTCCAGGGAGGGTCAGAGCTCTCTGCCCCCAGCCCCAAAGGACTCAAGGCTGCCTGAGGCTCCAGGTTGGCAGGCGCCCACTCTCTCGGCAGGACTAGGGCCCCCACGGGGCTGTGGAAGCAGGGCTGCTGTGGGACCCCAAGGCCGCGAGCACACGTCCGGAGGTGACGGGGGCCCGAGAGAACCTCCACGTGCGGTTGTGGGCGTGCGTGGGCTCAGCCCTCACTCCGTCTCCGCTGCCTGAAGCCCATCCCAGAAGCGGGAGGGCACGGGGAGCAGAGCCAGGGCACGAGGTATCTTTGGAGGGGGGGTCACTGTTCCGACCACCGCAGGGTCCTAGCTGCAGATCTCTCTCCACATCTGGCCAGCTACCTGATCTCGGCCCAGGGACCCTGACTCTGACCCCAGGGGACACCTCCAGCCCCAGCCTTCCCGAGTTTGGCAAAGGCCTCCTTGCATATGGCATGCTCGACCCAGGAGTCCAGGAGTGGTGGTGACCCTCGCCTCACTCGGACCTTGTAGGCCTGTCCGTCCAGGCCCATCGCCCTGCTGACCATAGCACGTGGCAGCCATCCCCTCCCCAACCCGTCCAGCCACGTCCACGACGGAGACCGTCCAGCACAGTCACTCACTGGCACCTGAGGGGTTAACCAAGAAAGGAGGCACTGATTCTACTTTTTCTACCTACAAAATTGTATAAATTCTTACTTGTAGAGAAACGGGGAAACACATGAGTATAAAAAGAAAATAAAAATCCATCCACGTTTCCATATCAGAAGCTATTTGGTTAAATTTAGTGTATTTCCTTCACACCCTTTAGAACACATCCACGTGTACGATGAGGGTTGGGTTCCGCGTGAACGTCTGCACTGTTTGTGAGAGCAGGTCGGCAGCCTGGTCTGTGCGATCGGCAATTCCTGGGCTGCACACGTGCTCACGGGGCCCCCACTGGATGGACTCCCAGGGACCCGGGCTGTCTCGGTGCCCCCTGCGCCCCGCCTGGGGGGCTGCTTCTCGTCGTCTGCGAGCTGAGATGACAGAGGCTCCACGTCCGCCTTCATCCGACAGAAGAGAAGCAGGATTTGGTCGAGGGTTCATCTTCACTTCTCCTGACGACCAGAGGAGTAGAATAATCTCGCCAACGCCGTCTTGTCAGTTCATCTGCTCAGGTCTTGTATTTCTTACTGATCCGAACAAGACCGCGTGTATAATTCTCAGCTGCGCACACGTGCGCAGGCCAGGGAGAGTCCCGGGCACGTTTACTGCAGGCCTGTCTCCCAGCTCGGTCCACCCTTAGCTTTCATTCATGGTGCCTCACACACACGGAGGTTTTCGTGTGGGGGGAGTAAGCACGGCTGATGTTTCGTTAGGAAGCCCTCACGGCTTGAAGCGATGCAGTCACTACACACGTTCTAGTCATTTCTTACAGTCACAGGTGTTTGCCCCTGTAGGTCCCCCATCCTTGGGGGGGGGTCTCCACTTTCCTGCAGGCACCCTGGCCTCTGGCGCTTCCTGCCCCTGGTGGGGCGGGGGGGGAGGGCTGGATACAGGCCCCTGTCTGCTCTGGCCAGTTCCCCCAGTCAGGCCAGCCTAGAGACAGAACCCCTGAGCCCAGCGGGTCTGGAGGGACACAGAGGCCCGTCCAGCTAACTTCCGAGCCCTGGATGTCTGCTGCCTTCTCCTACCAGGCCCAGGCTAAGTGGGGAGGGAGGCAGGCCCAGAGCTGCCCGGAGAGGGTGGGCTGTCACCGGACCCCCCCGGCCACAGCTCAGATGCTCTCTGAGGCCTCTGTTGTCAAACCCCGGGGCTGGCTGCCCCCGGCGCCTGCCTGGCCTTCAGGAACAGACAGGAGGCAGCCTGATGTCCGCAGCGGCTGTGCTCAGATGGGACCCAAGTCCCGACCCAGCCAACAGCCGAGTGCTGGCTGCCAGCTCGTCCCCAGGCCTCGGGACCAGAGAAGAGGCCTGGAAGTCGGGTTTGCAGCCCAGAAAAGTAGCCAGAATGGCCAGGATGAGCTCCAGCAGAGCCACACAGGCTTTGCAGAAGCCAGCAGAGCCCTTCTGGCCTCAGAGAATCATTTCCAGCTGGGGAAGCACACGGCCGAGGCCCACCTCGGGCCTCACAGGGGTCCCCGCTCAGGGCCCTGGGCTGGTCCTCACAGCTCACTGGAAAACCAGTGCTGGGCTGGTCCCTGCAGGCGACAGGACGTTCCCGTGCTGGGAAGCGGCCCACGGGTCTCCGGCGCCCTTCCCCAGGGAGCGTCTTCTCAAGACAATCGGCCAGACCCCCAGGGACACCCAGGAAGCAGCCCCTGCTCTCCTGCAGGCTGCCCCCCACCCCACCCGGGATCCTGAGCCCCAGGGATGACCCATGAGAAGTGAGTCATGTCTCATCCACGTGGCCCTTACCTCCCACCTGCTCAGGGACACGCAGGGCCAGTGACCAGGACCCCGGGCCTGGCGGGACCATGACAGCCACCTGGCCGGATGCTCGGGTTGTGTCATGAGGGCCCTGCTGGATCCCTGTCTCTGGAGAGGGCATCCAACCTGGGGTCCCCTCCCCATCCGTGCACCTGAGGGCCCTTGTGGCCACGTCCTCCCGCTCCCTGGTGAAGGCTCCTGCGTAGGGGTTTCCCTGCTCCACTGGCCCCCGGACAGTCCCACTAAGCAGCCCTGCGACTCCAACCCCGAGCTGAGCTTGTCAAGAAACTCGACGTGGGCCCCGGCTCCCTGGAGGGCCCTGAGCTTTGCCAGAGCTGGCCTCCCCGAGGGCACCTGCTCGTCCTGGTGTGCGGAGATCCAGAGTGTCCTGGGGTCGCAGCCTCTGTGTGACCCCCTGGTGTCCCTGGGCCTGGAAAGCAGCCGGCACTCGGCGGGCTCCAGCTCTGCGCATGGCCGTCCAACACCCCAAGGTCATGGGCTGCGTCCTCAGGGTCTGCGGCTATTTCTCTGGGACTCCGCCCCCGAGGTGGACAGAGCTGGTCTCAGGGTCACCTCGCCTTGCACGCTGGACACAGGAGCCGGCCCAGCACTGCCCGCGTCCCCTGCGGTCACCGGGCTCAGTGGACAGAGCCTCTCAGTCAGTGGCGAGAGCCCCGGAAGTGTTTGGTCTGAGGACTGAGCTGTGGACACGGCCGGGTTCCCGTCCAGGGCAGTCCTTCCCGCCGGGCAAGGAGGTGACGAGGTTTTTCTTGGTATTTGGATGCTATAAAGCATCGTTTATAAAACAAAAGGAAACCTTCCAGCCCTGTGAGTCCCCTGAGTGATATTCCCTCTTCCTCTAAAAGTTTCCATTTGCCTTTGGGGGCAGGCTGTCTTCTGTTTAAAGAGCACAATGTTCTGGGCTGAAAGCCCCAAACAAAAGGTTCTAACGGACAGTGGAGACGTAGAAACTGCAGGGCAGTGAGATGACCATGGTCTGCGTGAGAGAGCTTGACCATGAAGGCTGCTACCACGGAGAGAGTAAAAACAACCGGGGAGAAGCTTCTGGAAAGGCTGTGCATCATCCCATCCATGCCCAGCCACGTGATTGAGTTTCTGGGACCATTTCCTGACCTTATCCGGCCAGTTCACACCCGAGGAGTGTGGTTAACTGACTCCTGAGCCTGGGATGTCCCAGACGCCCGAGGAGGGAGGGCACACGATCGTCCGCAGAGGGGCCCTGGCTGCTCAGACATGTCCCCCTCTGCCCTGCTGTGAGGGAGGAGACGACCGGCCACCTGGAGACCCAAGACCCTGTGAAAACTCACACTGGCGTCTAGCGCGCAGGCAGGGAGACGGGACAGGGAGATGCGGCACCTCGGACGGCGGGGGCGGGCAGCACGAGGGCCAAGGCCTGGTCTGAGGATGCCCAGCGTGAGAGAGCAGGGCCCCAGTCCCTCCCCTGCCCCTCGAGCACCAGCCCAGCTGCCCCGGACGCACCTGTGTCTTGTCACTGCGGCTGCTTCTAAGGACCCCTGCCCGTCACCCAATCTCCATCCCTCCTCTGCCCCCATCTAGGGGCTGCTAAACGCCAAGAAGAATGACAACTACGCCACCTCCTGATACTTAGGGGTCCTTAGTAGGCAAGGAGTGGAGGGTCTCATCTCCTGGAGCCCACTGCACAGCAAGGTCACGTGAACTGCCCCCAAACAGGGAGCACAGCCCTGATGACATGGAACATGCCCGGCCCATGACGCTCTGGGGAATCTGCAGGGCTGAGGGCTGCGGACAGTGCCTGGCGGGACCTTGCTGGGCCAGTTCTGAAGGGCCAGGCCACGACGGTGCCACGTAGGAGAGAAGCCGGGGAGGGGATGGAGCGGGGCAGGCGGACAGGGGAAGCCTGGGTGGGGTGCTGAGGGCCCTCTCAGCCGGAGGGGCAGTTCCGTCCCTGCCCTGTGGCCTCAGGACATGTCCCCTTGTGCTTAGGAAGCAGCGTGAAGTGGCGACCCCAGCCCTGCACCAGGCAGAGCAGACGGGCGCCTCTGTGCACCACTATCTTCGCGGCCCCGCCACGGCCCGAGTCTGGAAGCCCCGGGGCAGCACAGCCAACGGGGATGCGCGGGGTTTGACCCCGGGAGCCCCTCCTTCCATCCTCACACCGCAGCCCTTGGTGAGGGCTCGGGGGACCACATCTGTCCGGCAGCCTCAGCTCCGGCCGGAGTGGGTCTCTCCTCCTGGGGTCCCTGGCTAACAAAGTCTCCACCTGGCTTCGATCCCCCGAAGCCACTCATCTCCCAGGGCCTGAGGAGACAGACCGCAGCCCTCGCTGGGCTGACGGAGAGCCAGCAAAGGCTGGGAGGGCCGTCTGGAGCCAACTGTAAAGGGTCGGCACGTCTGGGTGCTCACTGACCTCCCCCTCGCAAAGCGGGCCCTGCGGGTCGGAGGACAGGAGCGGATTCAGTGCCCGCTCACGCGGGGCGAGGCTGCTGCCGCAGACCATAGGGTGACTGAGCCTCAGGGGATAAAGGGACAAGGGCGCAGCAAGTCAGACAGGGGCTCAGCGCCGACATGGGGGTCCCAGCAGAACGAGAGGGAGAACACCTGAGAGCAAGAGCTTAGGCTAAACCCGGGGACGGCCAGAACCACCCCAAGCCCCGCACCCGCACCTGCCGTAAGCTGTTCCTTAGCCCTTATGGACCTGAGCAGGGAGCCCGAAGATGAGACACCAGCTCTGGGTGCGGCCGGGCTGCTCCAGGCATCTCACCTGTCCTCACCGTGAAAGCATCCGCCACTCGGTCACCGCTAGGATGCAGTACCTGCACGTGAGGGACCGGAGGCCAGGCAGCAGACCGCTCTAACCAGGGCATCAAGTGATGTGCGATGGCACAGACAGCGCAGCCCTTCTGTGCCACGAGGCAGAGAGCTGCGGGAGGATGGGCGGGAGCTGCCGGGGCCTCTGGGGGAAGGTTTGTGCTGTTCTGTTTAGCTTTTATAGACAAGCAGACTGGAGTGTCCTTACTTTAGGCAAGCTGATAGCTGCAATAACACGGATTTATTGTGTACCTAATGGTCTAGCTTCTCTTTCCAATAAAAAAACTGTTTCTTGATTCTGACGTGGGAAAGTCATGTCTACCTTTATAGCCATTTATTTATTTTCTTTGGCTCATGACTTGTTCTTGGAGTCTGTCTTCTGAGAGAAGTTTCTAGAAAGTCTGCCCCAGGCTGCGTCCCAGTGGTGGGGTTCTGAGGGGGGCTGGGTCCTCGTGGACCACAGTTTCCATTTCTGTTGAGCTGCCTCATTATGGACAAGCTGTGTTGTTTCCTCCTCCGGGAGGGAAGGAAGCATCCTGGAGCCTCTGGTTTGGGGTCAGGAACGCTAGGATCCAGGTCCAATCCTGATACAAGGGGTGGCTCCGGTTATAAGGCCCCTGTAAAAGGAGGAGGGGTGACTGAGAGTTCACGCCACCAAAGCAGAATCGCCCCTGAGCCTCGAATTCCGAACAGGGGCAGGTCAGGGGCCAAGCTGTCCCTGTGATGAAATATTCACCCTTGGCTCTGAAGGGTGATCAGCACGTAGCCATTAAGGCAATGATCCGGACCCTGTTTACTGGATGGTCCTGTGGTGAGTGACCGCCCAGCACACCCTTCATCAGAGGCTTCACCATCTCCAAGGGCCTCGTTCCCCGCTTTTCTGTGATGAGAAGCCATATTGAAAAAAAGAGTTACAAAGGCCTCAGAGATGCCGGGGGTAGATTAAATGCCCAGTGATGCGAGGGTCTCAACAAAACCGACAACAGCCTCCATGGGCATTTGAACAAGAACGTCGACGCAAGTGTGTGCACGTGTGTGGAGATGTGTGCATGTGAGTGTATGTGCATTTATGTCGATGTGTGTGCAGGTGTGTGGAATTGTGTGCGTGTGTATGTGTACATGTGTGTGCACGTGTGTACCTGCCGGACAACTCCCTGCCCGGCCCTGGAGGCCTGTGAAGGGTCATTCTGACTCAGGTCTCAGAGGGGGCGGAGGGCTGTGGTCCAGGACCCTGGCAGCAGCTGCCTCCCTGGGGCCACCCCAGTGTGCGTTTCCTGCCCCACCATTGCCCCCTCCCTACAGCCTGGGGTCTGTCACTGGTGAGATTTGGGGTCTTAGGAAGGACCCCATTGAGACAGGTCTGGGTTTGAATCTCAGCTGGGCTCTTCCTGTCCTGTGGCCTCAGGAAAGGGGCTTGGCTGCCACAGCCTCAGTTTCCACATCCACTAAATGGGAGCCTGAAACAGGAGCACCCAGGGGCACAGTTTCCCCCTTTTCACAGGAGTAGAGGCTGTGAGCAGAACACGGCTGCCGTCCGACAGCCTCACCCAGGACCACGGCATCTTTTTCTGCATGGCGCCCGCATGTCTGCAGAACTGGGGCCTGATGGTACTTTGTCTAGGCTCCTCTGGGTTTATACGGCCTCTGAACAAATAAAGGGATACTGGTCTCCTCGTCCTAAATAAAGTGATGATGCTGGTAATAGGATTTCACCGAGAATATGGAGGTTTACTGAGGACATCCATCAGGTACTGCAAAGCCCAGGCCTCCTTCCCTCAGGAAAACACCCCTCCACGGCCCAGGGCCCCCCTCGAGCAGCCATGGGTCTGTCCCCTGGCCGAGCAGCATGCCCACACCGCACAGGGCAGCTAGCGAGGTTATGGAAATAAACCACACGCCACGTGAGGATGGGCAGGCAAGATGAGATAAAGGATGCAGAGACAGACGACTCCCCAGACCTGGAAGGACTGTGCATTCACGGCGTCTCCTAAGTACCTGTAAGTTCTTACTCCACTTCCTACAAATGAAAGCAGAACACAGAGGTGGCGCCAGTGCAAGCATGTAAGGGGGGCCCCACCAGGGGAGCCGCGCGAATGAAATGCAACACGGCCACGAGGTGACACCGGGGACGGAGGCCACAGGCCACCCTTAGAACCCACCCACTCCCAGGGTCAGGGCACGGCCTGGCGAGGAGTGAGGTGACCTCTAGGGACAGCCGAGAGGAAACCGGCCTCAGCCCTATAGCACCAGGGACCTGAATTCTGCCATCAACCGAGTGAACCTGGGCGGGGCTCTTTCCCGGAGCCTCAGGTGAGACGCAGCCCGGCCCACACCTGGGTTTCTGCCCTGTGGGACCTGGGCCGAGGCCCCGGCCACGCGGTGCTGGATGTCTGACTGCTGAGCTGTGAGATGGCCAAGGCTCTCCGTCACCAAGTGCGCAGCAGCACAGAAAATTCATCCGCCCCGAGCCAGGCTCCCGGGCCCCAGCCCCACACAGGGGCCTCCAGCTCCATCTGCCCCGAAGGCGGGTGGGTGCCTGAGTCCTGGGGGAGGGAAGCGGCTGAGACCAGCCCGTGCCCCTCACGGGTCGCACTTGGTCCAGTCCAGCTCCACTCATGACCTTGACGCTGCCAGGGTCACGTCTCCCCGGCGGGCCAGCCTCAGCCCAGGCCCCCTCCAGCTCTGCAGGGGGCTGCCCTCGACCTCCCCACGGGCTCAACTGCCCTGGGAACGGCCGGCTGGCCAGGCGGCTTTTCTAAAGGGAGTGTGGGTGGTGCGGGCCTGTCTGCTTTGTCTCCTGGCAGAGTCGGCCTCTGACGTCCCATCCACCCGCTCCGCCAATCCCAGCAGCTAGAGCCCGGCCGGCATCGCAGGATGACGGCCTCGGCCACCGCAGCTCGCGGCCGACCCACCGTCCCAAGTTCACAGGCGATGTCTGGCGATGACGGGGCTGGGGTGGGGTGGGTGGAGGTGTGTCCTCAGAGGTGTCATCAGACACGCTCTCCCCGACACCTGGCCGTCCACAGCGGCGAGGGAGGCCCCGTGTGCCCGGGAAGCTCAGGCTCAAACCCCTTCCCTGCGCTGCCTCCTGTGTCCACTTTCAGGGGCTGGGCAGGTCACCTGCTGGGCCCAGGCAGGCTCCTCACGGTGCCACACGTCGGCAGAGGGGGCGGTGGCCCCGCCAAGCCCCTGTCAGTCACAGGAGTCCCAAGACCGGGCCGAGGACAAACCCTTTCTTATTCAAATATCCATCCACATCCACCTGCTAATAGCGGCTTCACGGAGGGAGAGCTCACAGCCCAGACCACGTGCCCCGCTACAGGGTCAAGTCAGTGGTTTTGCTCTATTCAGAGCTGTGCAACCACCACCACAGTCAACGTAGAACATTTCTATCCCCCCAAACCACACTCGTCAGCAGTGACGCCCCCATCCCACCCCGGGAATTCCCCCAGGAGAGGGATCCTGAGTCACACGGTAGCTCCGTGTCTCACTTTTTGGGCAAATGCCAGACTGTTTTCCAAAGGGTCTGAAACATGCATTTCGGATTCTCTTGATGACACACTGCCCAGCACGTCCCAGAAAGACTGGCAAATTCACATGCTTACAACCAGCGCCCTTCACGAGGCCTCAACATGAAGGTAAAGAAACGAACACCAACCACGGCGAGTCCCGAGGGGCAGCGCCCATTCGTGTTTCAGCTGCTGACCCCCGACGGAGAATCTCTCGCCACTCCTTGTCCCCACTTCATGTTTCAGGAACTTTCCACCCCTGGGCTGTGTGCCTTTTCGTCTGCCTGCTGCCCCCAGCCCCAGGGTTAGAAACCAGCTCCTGCCAGGCGGGTCCCCCGACGCCCACCTTGCCATCTGCCTCTGTTCTCGGAAGGTGAGCTGGACTTTCAGAAGTTTGGGATATCAAGGCGAGGCAGGGCTGCCCCTTGAAGGCGGGCCTAGCGTGAGTCTCTCGGTCACTGGGTGGCCTGCAGAAGGCCTCAGTGTTCTCATCTGTAAAATGGGGTGGTAACAGAGCATGGCCCACGGTGGCCGTCAGCCTGAGCAGGTCGACCTGTGCACGTGCTCAGAACAGCCTAGGCGAGTGTCTGCGATCGTCACCGATTCTTACTATTTTCGGGCTTGTGGACCGTTTCAGCATCCTTCCTCCCCCTGAACTCAGATGTCCACCTGGACGTGTCCTTAACCATCTCATGGTTTCCTGTGTCATAGTTTAGTCTGTAATCCCTAGGGAATTTAATTTGGAACATGGTGTGAGGTAAGGATGCAAGTTGAATTTCTCCCAAGTATGAAGCTGGTTTTCCCAGCATCTGCTGTTGGGGGCTGCCCCTTCCACACTGTACCCCCAGTCCGTGCTCACCAACACCCAGGTTCACCTCAGGACCACATGGTCTGGTTCGTGGGTCAGAAAGAGCAGCAGAAGAGCCAACGTCTTCTCGGGTTTTAACTGTATCCTGGGCACTTGGCCAGACAGGGTCCGCTGTTAACTCGGGAGGGGGGTGAAGGGCAGAACCAAGCAGTGGCCGCATTGCCCAGGGCTGAGCTGCTCACCAAGCTCCCTTTACCCCCTTGTCCGTCCCCAGCAGGAGGCGGACACTGCGGCATGTCCCAAAGCCTTCCCACACACCGCGGACGAGTCCCACCCAATATAAAATGTGAAAGCATTTTGTAATGTTCCAGAAAAAACTCACTGGAGATTTGATTGAAACTGTATTAAATCTAAGCATCAAATTTGAAAGAAGAGACTACCTCATAACATCTAGACAATCCCTCACCGTATCAAAGTATGTGACGTCTTTCTATTAATTTATTCAAGTCTTTTAAGTCTCCCCTGGGGAGGTTTTGCCATTATCTTCATAGGTGCCTTTTCTTACCAAAGTTATTCCGAGTTATTTTATGTTTTCTTCTGCTACTAACAGAGCTCTCCCCTCTCTCTTTCTTACTTTTATTTCACTTATTTATTGTAATGAAATCATTACACATACTTGCTTGGAGGTGAGAACACACAGGCTTTTTGTCCAGTCTCTCTTTCCTGTGCCAGCGGGCATGTTTCTTCCTTAAAGCTGCCTACAAATTTCACCTCCCGTTTTCACCTCCTAAATGACACTTGTGTTCAAGCTACTGCTGACTCCATGCCCTGGCCCTCAGGGTTGAAAGCCTTTATTAATCCAGTCTGGGGTTGGCAAACTTGCGCTACCAAGGGCCGGGTAGTGTATATTTTCAGCTTTGCGGGCCATAAAAGTCTTTCTGCAAAGACTCAACCCTGCCATTGCAGTGTGAATGCATGCCTAGACAATACGTGAGTGAATAAGCAAGGCTGTGTGCCAATAAAACTTTATTTAAAAAATAGGTGGGGGGCCAGATTTGGCGAGCAGGCGGTAGTCGTCCGACCTCTGATCCAGACAGAGTTTGTTTGTGTCTATGAAAGCTTACAGTTGAACACAAGTAGAGAAACTTCTATGTTCATAACTGGTCCAATTTAATAAGTTCTCTAATTAGTTTTCAAGGCATTTCAGGTGATTCTCCAGAGTTTTGGAAATACCTGTTTATTTACCTTCTGTAAGTAATAATGATTGCATTTTCTCATATCAAATAGTTGTGTGAGTTCA